AGTCGCAAATGTGAGATATAAAGTCGGAATTCTGAGTTACTAAGTCGGAATCTAAATGATTGATATAAATGAGAAAGAGCAGTGATCCCCACTGTGGTATTATACATCAGCTGTGACTTTAGACACAACCTATAAGGAAAAAGGACCCACAAACATCCGTCCTCATTGAAACTTTGTATCTCTAACAGCCATGCATATACCAGTTAAATGTCACAGTCATAACTCCTGCTATATATAATAATCTGAATCTGTTTTACATACAGTTCTGAATGTTTGTATTTTCAATAACTGATATTCTGGATTTACATAGGAACTATTTATTTTTAAGCAAGCTGTTAGGAGCAATTAATCTGAATTAGGAAATATGAAATTGGCCTTCCCCATTGAAATGCAAACCATGTAGGTTTGGATTAAAAATAAATGCTCCCTTTAGCCCTGTCTCTACTGATCTGCACTTCGAACTCCTCAGGACAGAAGATTTGAGAGTGCGTGATACAGAGCGAGCCCCCTGCCTTGCTATGAGAGTCGATCCTTGCATTGATTAAGCCCTCCAGAATCAGTTGTGTCAGTTCATCCTCCAGAGCCGCCACTGTGGTGTTGAAGGCGATCGCCATCTTGTTCATATCTGCTGACACATAGGGACTGAAGTACTGTAAGAAGAGAAAAAACACACATCTCATTAAATCAATTGAAAGTACAATGATTACCCTTCACTTCACCACACCACAGGTTCTCTTATTGGGACAACAATAAGAAAGCTAAAGGTAATGGGAAAGATGTCAATGACATAATCAGGTTCCCAGTAGTACCTTCATTGATCCAAACAGAGAACTGCAAAATTGTAAATCTTGGTAACATTTCCTGTACATTTACTAAAGACAGAGGGGACAGCAAATATAAGATGGTTGTATTATGGTAATATGTCACCCAGGAACAAATGTTTCGGAGAAGAAAAATAGTCTTAATGCTACGTTCCTTGACCTAAAGTCCATATATCTAATGCTTGTGATTAATGCTATTGAGGAAACTAATATCACAAAATGTGAAACTGAAACACCAAAAATATTTTCAATCTAGATAATGGCACATCAGATTTTAACTGCAGTAATACAACAAAGAATTGGCATAACATTTTACATATACTGCTATTTATATTAAATATTATAAATCAATAGAAATATTCCTTGTGTACCCTTTATATCTCCCAAAGTTATAAAACCACTAAAATACCTTGAAAATCAGCGGTATGTTTATATCACTGCTATCAAATATTAACTATAAAATTTACATAACCTGGTACCATTAGAAACTTGGTTAAAAATTGATTTATAAATATATAATAAAATGATTAAAATGTCCCTGAAGACCCAAGGTAATTAACTTATGTATTTCTTCCACATGGACTTCATCACTTCCAATATGTTGTGTAACCTGATAAGGATTAAACTGGTCACAAACAAGCATTACAGAAATTATTTTCTTCCAAATTCAAACATGGAACTACAGATTACTTTGCCACTAAACCTAAAACTTAAAATCAAACAAGTTCCAGCTTCAAAAAGACAGGTGAATACCACTACTAAAACAAAACAAAATCAGGAAAACCTATTTTTGAGGTCATACTATAAAAGTGTCCTGAACAACCCCTCTCACCTGTATAAGAGCCCTGTTTCTGATTTGCGTGTACAGTGTCCTTACATGTGGTGCCAGATACATGTCTAGCAGAAGGTTATCCTGACAGAAAATAAAAGGAAAATAATTATCAAGTGTTTTGCAGTAATGTACAAGTGCCACTATTTCAAAGTTAGCTCAAAGTAAAAATAAAAACATTAAAATTAAAATCAAACAATTGCTGTACACAGGCAAACAATATAAAGCAGAATAAAGACATTTAAGTGCTTTTTTTCTAATTCTACTATATTCAATCAATTCAGCAAACCAAATTCTGCAGAGGTTTAGCTCTGAACCAAATGAGAGGGTGGAGTGTGTTATTGAGTATTTTTAAGTTATGGGTGTCTTAATGGGGCACCGAGGAAAGGAAGGTTATTGCACAGATCTCAGCTAGTATTGTGCTGTGATGCTCAACAAGTTTCTACAGATATTCAAGTTAGAAGACAAAGCCTTCTCATCTCCTAAACATGTTTAAAAGAATCTTAGAGTGAGAGTTAAGAGCAAAAAAAAAAGAGTGATCCTGCAGACTAAGTCAGTAAAGTCTATGTAAGGGATGGTAAAATATAACCCAACACAATACTTAATACTCAAACATATGCTTATTTAATTTTAAAAGGTTCATTTCACAGCTCAAGTTCACCCTGCTGTTCTGTGATATTTTTAAATTTTTATACATTTTATTTAAAAACCTGAAATATATGGAGAACAAAGACTAGCTCAAACAATCCACAAGGTTCAGCTTCAAAATACGCAGGTTCACTCACTTCACTGGGATTCTGTTCTACCTGTTAGGCAAGTACAACCAGTGTCATCACTACCAGTAAAATAAAAACAATACTATAAAAAAACAAAAGGAAGAATACAGTACATGAAGGTATACTAGTCAAGAAAAGCCCCAGCACAACAGGTTTTTTTAAAGGAAAAAATGATCAATTTACAAAAAACTAGGAACAAGTTACTTGTGATCAATTAAGCATGTGATTTGTTACACTGAGTAATTAAGGGATTATTTAGAACAACAACCTGAATGCCCTTATGGACTGGAAGGTGAGGTTGTGGATGTGCAATTTCTGAAACATGGATGCTGACTGCAGAAATTAAGATATTTCAGCACAACACACCAAAAAAAAAACATTCATAAAAGCACATATGCAAACTATTTTGTGCTATGACCCACCACAAAGATAATTCCAGTACGGGTGACTTCAGCTATTAAAGAGCGTTTCATAATGCATTATTTTAATGAGTATTATACCAGACAGAACCCACAGTGCCTGGGAGGCACAGAAAAAAGCAATTAAAATAAATCAGTTTCAAGTAATACCTCAAGTGATAAGTGGTAGTCCACTGATTAAGGCAAAATAAAATATGCAAATCACTAAGACCTTGATCAATCAACATGAAGTTATCACAAAGTCCTTAAAAATTAATTAAAAATGCACAACTAAATTCGTCTTCAAACTACCAACAAGCAAAAATCAAGATTTTTTCCCCAAAGATAATGTAATAGAAATTTCAAACTTTACATTATTCAATTAGTTCCAAATTCTGCATATAAAAATATCTACCAGGATTCTGAGATAAAAAAGATGATATCTCTGATGGTATATGAGCCATCTACAATAAAGCAGATTCAAATTAGCCTTGCAAAGAATATCTGCAAAGAAATCCAACATTATATCAACACAGATTTTCCTAGATGGTACATGAATTCTACTTAGCTGCACTTCATGCCTTTTGGGTAAGCACTGCAGCAAAGTCACTCAATGGGACAGTGGTGCCCAACTTTCTTTCCTTGTTTAATAGGCAATTACGTGAAACCAATAAGCCTAATGGATTGGGTTAATAAGATGGTAGGAAACCAGAGCTCCTAGGGAAAACCCACAGGAAAAATTCACAACCTCTGCATAGAACCCAGAACCTAGACCTCAGTAACTACAACTCAAATCGTCATATAATCAAAATGGTGCATATGCTCAAGACTCAAAAATATTAAAAAAAACATGAATGTACTGGATGTTTAGGTGTTAAAATGTAAAGTAGCTCAATATTTTTAACTGAAGTATTTCAATTTTGAGATGCTCATACAGTATATAAAACAGCAATAGAAGAAACAATTTGCATTCAGAGCACTGACTGTACTGCAAATTCTCTCTGTGTACCACAAATAAAAACATCCCTTATTGCGTCAAATATCTTCCACTTACATCAATAATGATACTGCTTCAAGCAAAAAATAAATGTAAGCTTTATATATTTAATTGTTGACAAAAAGATATCCCTGCAGGCAACATTAAACTATTGGTAAGATCAAATGACTCACCTTCATTTCATCCAGCATTTTCAGGCAAGATGCATACTTTGACTCGTAAAACTTAAAGATAATGTCACGAACTTGAGGCTCCAGTTCTAAAAATAATTTAAAGGAGCTGATGCAAAAGAAAATAGATGTTATTACCAGATAGACGACATATGTCCAATCCCCATCTTTACATTAAAGATATTGCAAAATTTATTTATGCAGAAATATACAAATTCCGAGATAATTATTAAGATCTAGAAACTGACAGCTATTTTAAGGCAAGGTTGATTTTTTAGCTGAGTAAACAAAAATCATATTACACATTTTACAAATGTTATATGAGGGGTCCCAGGTAATTCCACAGGCAAATACATATTAAAATAAAAAGGTTCGCATTTTGGTAATCCATTGAGCTATTTCATCAATTATCTTTACAGTGAATCTTGAAAAAAATAAAAGGAAATATCATAGATATGTTTCTAAATCTAGTAAAAAAAAAATAAAGACACATGCTAATGACAATGCCTCTTAATGAAGAGAGAGACCTACCTGCTAGAAATGACATTCCGTTGCAGTTCCTGTCTGTCAAAAGTAGCCAGTGCACATAGACCACCATAAACTGCTACGTTACTAGGGGATAGAAGCTGGGAGGGGGTCACAAAGGGTTATTTTTTAGGTTCACATTTTCAAAACTTTTTTACAAAACACACTGATCACTAGAACACTATCAGGAACATATATGTAACGAAAATATAATTCGTCTTGGAAATACAGAGAAGCAAACAGATGGAAAACATTTTACTGTTCTGAAATTTGCTTCAGGTTCTACAACCATATTTATCACATGTGCCATCTGTCTGTCCAAAGCATGCAAATAAAAAGTACGTTCCATTCTCACTTCAGAAAAACGTTTTATTTTTCGGTTTCCAAACATCATCAGCTATTAAGAGAAAAATACAAAAAAAGGAATATCTTGGGTTTTTGATAAATTCTCGACACAGGAATGCCTAATTTCAGTTATTACATCCCAAGAAATAACTAGAAAATATTAATGGAATCAAAATCTGTCTGCTTTAATAATGTTGGATAATGCTGAAACAACCCCCTGCTGTACTATGTGTTCTTTGTGTTTGGGGGTGTGCCATAATGGTGCATCATTTCCCAGCAGCTGGGACACAGCCTCTAAGTGAAATGCTCTCTGCAGCTGTGCTCACCTCGGGGAAGTCGCAGTGGTCGAATGAGGCCAGCAGGAAGCACTTGGCGGCCTGTTTGTATTTTCGAGAGGCTAGCTCCGCCAGGCCTGGAGTGATGGAAAGTAAAATCTGTCAGAACAGCAGCAGGGCTGTCTGCTAGGGTAAATGCCTTTTGAAATGCTGTTCTTTACAGCGAAAGTAAATATAACGGATACATTTATGCAGGGTTTTACTACTATTTGACTCTGTGACCATGAAACCCGTGTTGATGTATGATGTGTTTTGCCTAGTTACAATTCTATTTTTTAGTGTTTCTTTCAGGTCACGGCACATAAAGTATGATGGATATTCAACAAAACAACATATAATATGTATTTTTAGTTGATGAGCACCACAACGGCTGAATCTTTAAAAGTGAAACAGATTGTAAACATCTGACACCCAACTTTAAGTGCTCATGAGCAATATTCAGCTTAATCTTCCCTGTAGGCAAATTGCACACCTTAGTCACTAACCATGTAATATACACTCCACTCACTGAACATACATGGACCTCTCCATCTTAAAAACATACATGTAACGATTCTTGCACTGGGAACACATTTTGAATTAGTTTAGAGTTGTTTTTTTCAAGAACACAGTCATGTACTTTGAGTACATATGTCTATATATTAGGCCCTAAAGAAAATTTTGTTAAAACCGTTCAAATTTAGAAGCCTATAGCTCAGGAGATTAACAATGTTTACTAAAAACGTAACTCCAACATCAAACAACAAGCAAATGACATCCTGTGTGTTAAAAGTCACACTGCTTGCACCATTTTCTATTTTGGTTTAACAATGGCCTCCCTTCTAATGTAAATGAGACAGAATGAAACTTAAATTTTATATCCTTATACAAAACTTAGAATTTTGAGAGATTACTTTTTAAAGTATAATGCATATAAAATTATCTTACAGCTATCCAAACTCAAAAAGGAGAAAACCACAAATGAAATGCTAAATTAACCTATCCAAACTGTTCATAGATATCATAATTAATATATCACAGTAAAGGGGCAATTGATATAGATTGATCATGATGACAAGATGAAATACAGTAGCACTTTTCCAGGGAGTAATAAAGTAAAATTTTTAACTTGCCAATAATTAATTGAAATTGATATTTCTCAGTCTTTCTTTTAATGATCTTTGATCTAAATTACCTGTGTTAACCTCGAAGTATGTACAGAAACAGTCCATATGGACAAGAGATTCACTTAAATAAAAAATCCTTAAACGTATAAAGAAGAAATAAATATTAAAATACCTGCAGCACATTTTAGTTTGGTGAGGACTGCCTGGTTTTGACTGTCTCTTTCTCCTCTTTGCTGTTGGGCAAGAAAATGAATTAATTACAAGAAAACAAATATACAGTACAGCTTTTAGGAAAGTTAAAAAACTAATTAAAACTGAAAAAGTAAGGATCATACCTCTGCTATTTCTGGAGTGGATTCAGCCTTGCTGACATAGCTAAGGACATGGGACCAGTTCTGGAGGTAAACACTAACCTACAAAAAGAAAAGGAAACAAATGTTAAAGCCTGCCCCCTAGTGTTCTCAATCCTAATAATCCACACACATTAAATATTGTGTTATCTATTCGATTAAACCCAAACAATAACTTATTTTTACAATGGCTCTTGCTTCCATATACATCACACATTTTAAATAGCACTAGAACGCAAAAGTACTTATTTTAGAGTCCCATCTAAATAGTGATGTAGAAACAAATTAGAAAATTCATAAACAATTGTCATTTCTCATCCTGTCACTGCTGTAATTGCCCTCCTTCCATTCAGCATATTTTTCAGTCTTACTCCATCAAATATGGGAGAAAAAAGCTATTGATCAAAGATGATCCATCCTGATCTATTACTTTTGTTTACATAAGATCTATTAAACCAGTCAAGAGTAACAAACTACTGCTGTGAAAAATTACACACAGAATTACTGGTGTCAAAACATCTAAAATATTTATAACAGGCTTGAAGCTTTGGATTTCCTTCATTTCATAAAGCTAGGTGATGCTCACATTCTCAAGGTAATTTATTTCTGCTAGGATATTTGCAGCTTAACTAGAGCCTAGAGATCTTCAGAGCCTTTGTACCTTATGCAACTCAAGGTCCAGAAATGCAACATTATTTTCCTTTACAAGTATTTCACAAATGATTAAGTCATTGAACCTTAAATTAATGTTTTTTAGATTTGTCTAACAAAAAGTTAACCATCAGGTGATTTGAACCAACACCAATATCTAATGTTAATAATGATCTCCTTAACAATTTAAATATCGCAGGTTTGAACCACATGCAGGCTACATACCTTGATTACATTAAGACACATGTTGATGACGTGTTTGGCGCTAGTGCAGTAGTCTCGGGCTCGGGAATAACATTTCAAGGCATTGCTGAGGTCACCACAGTCTAAATAATGATCTCCCAGGTCATCATGACCCCTCCTAGAACGAAGTTTTTCCAGCAAGGAGTTAGTAAAAACTGAAACAATTAAATAGCACTCGCGTTTAAAATCCAAGAAAAAGGCAAAGGTCAGTTACAGTACCTATTGTGAGGGAAGGTGCAAACTGTCAGCAAAGGGTATTCTTTTAACTATTCTGAGGATGGAGCTCGCTTGTGTTCTGAAGAAACCCAGTCTACTGCTGCTGAGCATCTGCTAAGTTAGTTAAAGAATATGAGACAAACTGCTTTGAGTTACTGAACTGGCTACATGTGCCCTAAAGGCTAGTCTGAGACTCCCTCATGTATTTGAGATGCAATTCACAGCAGTTAAGTGTTCTTAGTGTAACTTTTTTTTTTTTAATTTAAGGAAGTTAAAGCTCAAAGAGAAAAGCATTTGAGTTCTTCTTAAGTGTACTGGAGATGCTCCTCAGTCTTCACTTCCAATAACACGTGCATTACTATCCTTAAGCACCTGTCTTTTATCCTATGGCGCTAAAACAAGGCTTCAGCTAGAGCCTCACTGCTCACATTTACCTGATGCTCTCTTTGATGGAGTTTCCCTTGTAGTTTTTCAGGTCTGTGTCAAGTTTCTCCAGTTTGAGTAGAGCTTTTTTCCTTGTGGACTCGGCCCAGGCTGTATCAAGAGGAGGGGGCTCTACCCCACCCTCTGGAACTGCATCCGGAACTCCCTGAACATCCCTGTGGTCAGGCAAAAACAGTTACAGCTAAACAGAAATTAGATTTATCTCATATAAGATAAGATATACAGTGGGTATATAGATTACCTTTAAAGACCCTATATTATAATTAATTAAACACTCACAAGAGGAATGAGAATGTCACTGTGCAGAATCCAAAAAAAGCATATTTCAAGTCAAGATTTAAGTTCCTCAGAAAGAACATAGTAATTTGCTACACTGGAACTGCTTCAAATCTGGAACTAGTGCATTATATATATCACAAACTGCAATTCTATCTGTCAATACAACAGCAGTCATATGAACTAATAAATTCAACATACAGTTAAGCTGTTTCAGGTATTGCCCAGATAGGCCTGGCGGAAATTAACATGAAGATGTAAAGCAAGAAGGCTGTCATACCTAGTAGCTTCAGTAAGCTTGCGGTGGATTTCCTCATAGACATCAACATTAAACGTTCTTTGGACGAAAGAGAGAGCCATCTTGAGAGCTTCAACACGCAGCTGGGGACAGTGGTCAGCAATAAACTGCAGCCTCTCAATCCTCATTAGCCCGCTGTAGCTGGAAGCATACTGCTCCAGATCCTAAAACAAAGCACCTACCTATTGTTATCATATCATATATTACCTATGTTAACTATTGCTAAGGGAGGCACTTTAGGCATTAAAGTGCTAATACACCAAAAGTATAAAACAAGTCTCTATTAAACTGCATATTTATGGCCAGGGGATAAGGGCATCGCACAAGCAAAAAAAAATGTAATCTAATTTAAAGATGCCTTTAAGGACACAGATCCAAATGAGGCATAAGATTAATAAACCTCTACTGTTTCATTTGATGTGTGAAAAAGAAAATGACAATGTCTAGTATATAGTTTTTTTCTTCTTCTAGGGAAGTAGATTGGATCAATATTTGTAAATTCTACTTTTCTCATGCAATACACTTAGGGAGCTAGAAAATCCAATTTCATGATTGAAGATGTGTTATTTAAAAAAATATACATTTAAAGAGCAAGATGACTACTTAATGCACATTCATCCAGACCAAAAACATCACTACATCAATAAAGATCAATATAGCATCATATGGAACAGTTAAATGAACTGAGATGAGGACTACTTACAAGAGTAAGTAGTTTCATACTACTATTTCATGATAGATAAGTACTGTTGTTGTCAGATAAGCACTAGAAAACAAGATCTAATTGAATTTGCCTTTCCTGAATTATAATCTAAGTGCATCATATGCTTCAGTGTAATTTGGATAAAAATGTCCATGTGCCAAATGTTTGCTTCTGAGAATATCTCGGTTAATCTTCTCATGCCAAATACTTCAGTTCAACTTTTAAGTTATACGAAGGTAATTCACGTACCAGTGTTGGATTTTCCACAACATAATTCGTATCAGGTGCATTCTGCTGGTCTTCCTGCGGGTCAGCATCTATTTGCATGGGCTCCACAGCCCCCTAAAAGTGGAAGTCAAAATGATTTTGCTGATAAAACAATGTATATAACAGAAGATAAGCCATTTTGGCAAATATCTCAGGTAATTCCACTATTTTACAGGTGAACTGTGTAAATGAGTGCTTCAAACAAACAATGGAAGAACAAATTGAACACAAATTCTTCTTGAAATCAATTAAGATACCCAAGCCCAAGCATGAACATTTTTAGATACAACTGAATACAACACATTACTATTATTAAACTAGAAAACTATTTCAGAATGTATTCAATAAGTAATAAGTACATTCATGTAAAAGGAATTTATTCTAGTATATCATTAAAACAGTTCACATACTGTATAACGAAAGGAATTCTGGTTAATCAAAAAGACAGCCCTAGGAAAGAAGCTATTCAAATACTGGGTGGTTAAGATTTTAATCAGCTGGCAGCATCTTCCTGAGGGAAATTATGAAACGGGTGGTAACCTGGGTAGGAAGGGTTATAAGCAATCTTTCCTTCCTGCCTCTTTACTCTGGAATTGTACAAAACATCAGTGGAGGGCAGATGACAGCCAGTGACCCTCTCTGCAGAGCAAATAACACACTGCGGTTTGATTTTGGAGTGGGCAGACATTTTGCCAAACCAAACAGTTATAGGTGTTTCACAATGCTCTTGATAATGGCTCTGTAAAACTGTATCAGAATTTGTTGAGAAACACCAAAACCTTTTAATTGTTCACACTTTGAATCCCAGCCCTTTCCAAAGTAGGGACTACCTTGATGTCTGGACGTCTCCACAGACCACGCACTACAACACTGTTTTCAAAAACGTTCTTTTTTGGATTCAATTACCTTGTACACATAACTTGTGTATTTTATAATATCAACCCATTTCCTCAATCAGAAAAGGTAGGTCTGTGCCACTTCACATTTAATAGATCAGCATTTGGATTACTTTACAAGCCATGCTGCCTCTCAGTCTCCTCAATCACAACTGGCAGTTGATTAATAGAATTACCGAAAGAAGGATCTCATACAAAAGTTCACTGTTCTGGTAATAAGGGCGGCCATTCTTTCTGTGTATTTGCTAAGCTATTTACCACTGATAATGAGACCACAAACGTGAATTACAAAAATTGAGAAAATGATTGTTTTGTGATGCATGTTTAGAGAAATACATGTGTAGTGAATTTCCAGTTGTCTTATGGTTAGCATTTTAGGCAAGTTGAGGCACTGAGATTTTATTAAGTGGAGCAAGTCATTTTGCAAGTTGTTTATTTCAGTTCTATACAGATGCATACTGAAGAAAACATGATGATCTTGAGAAACTTTTACAGCTAATTTAGGTTAATACCGACACACGTTTTGCTGTTACTGTACCATTGTGTAAACTATATGACTGTTGCAAATAACTGTTTGTTTTGTTTTTAATATTTGGATGTTTTAGTAATTCTGTTACAATTAAAATTCGTGAAATTCATATTTAAGAACTTGTTAAACTGCAATTAAATGCATTACTTGACCAAAATAATCTGGCTGTCAAACAAATGTTGGAGTCTTGAGCGCCATGGATGATGCTACAAAAACACTGTGATAATTATGGTGAAATCAGGTTTTTCTATCATTGCTTTGAGAATTTAAATTGTATTTTTAGTAAGCCTGACTTAAAAGCAGAATTTTACACAAGGTGCATATCAGTGCTAAAGATTTGTTTTGCATTATGAAGTCATTTCAGTTAATGCCAGTTTTGAAGGCTGCACTTAGTATTTAATCTGAGTGAGCAAACACAAATTTGTAGTCCAGACACAGATAATCTAAGTTGTAAAGTGTACAGGCTACATACACATCTTGGAAATTTAATCTGGTCAAAGACGCTTGTTCTATCGGCAAGCAATAACTAAAGAACCTAATTTTAAAAAAAAGCACATACTCGAAAAATTAAATTGAAATGTGTGCAAAACACTGGCTTACATCATACACAACATACTGTACAGTACTTAATGAGAATAAAATTAGAATGGAACTAATGTTTAAATTAACTCACACACAATAGGCCCTGCACTGAATCTGTCTCTATTCTCTAATGGACTTCAAGTGATAGAAAAGTCAAAGGTGGGCAAAACCTTGTAAAGCACTAATATAAGGTAATGCAATGTTAGTTCTAGTGTGAAAGAATACACCATTCATTTGAACTTTAACATTAGAGATAGTGATTTTCATGAGGGCACATAGTTGGAACAGGTGTATGCATTTTAGATTCAAACATGCCTACTCAGACCAGGCAAAATGAGTGTGCAATCAATCTGAACATGCTGATTAGTGATGCACAAAATATACTGGAAAGGAGATGAAAACCTTAAAAAGAAAACAAAAACTTACCAGAGAATAAGAAAACTAAGACTACTGCATGATATGTTTGAGTATACTTTGAAACTGTACAGAGTTCAGATAACAGCTTTACAGAAAAGTAGGAATGAAAGAAGACAATTTAAGATCCTCAACCTGTGGAGGAACACAGGAGCAAACTAATAAAATTGGTATAATCTTTATGAACTAAGATTCACTGGACACTGTTCTTATTCGAAACATGAAAAAAATGCCTTTACACGATGTCTCATTTATTTTAACTGTTTTTTTTTCTTCCATGCCAACTTATTTATTCCCAAAACATCAATATGCTTTGAAAATGCCTTGTGGCTAATATTAAAAACACTTGAAGTTCTGCGTAGAGAAAGCAAAATACCATGTATTACAATGGGACCCTGTACTTTTTAAAGTACTATTTTATTTTCAGTTGTATGACATGTCTTCCTTCACTCCCCTTTGGCCTTTTTTACATTGATATGAAACTGTGAGGTTAACATGAGGTTAAATAGAACTGGAAACAGATGACTGTAGGACATCCTTATATCTCTTTCAAATTCATCCCAACACCAGTGCGCTTAATTTCTTGAAAGTATTAATCAAGAATGAAAAACAAATCATTCCAAACATCTTAGGTTGCTGTAAGTGATTGTATACTTCAGAACATCTGCACACTGGCAATGTCCTAAAACTAGAACTTAAGCCAAGAAAGGTACAAGTAGGTATAAATGCAACACCATATTTAACCATCAATGACTTAAAGCCCAAAATTCAATTTAAGTAAACAGAAGACTGCCGCCCCCTAGTGACTTGCATGAAACTGCTTGATGTTTCCACAGGAATTTGTAAGTGTATCCATGGATACTACATTGGCCAAGACTCACATTGTCAGTGCAAGTGCCTCTCCTTGTAGTACATGCAGAAGACATCTTTCCTGGTATAGATGGCAACCCTCAAAGTACTGATTTTTGGTATTTTTTATTTTTGGCAGTGTGATATCATGCAGATGTTCTGGAGCACACAAACCGAGCCAAGACCCCAGTTTAGGATGGTTTATGTATGATTTCCGTTTCACTTTCAATTTTACCTTTAAAGGGAATGTCAGTTTCTGAACATTACACTAAGATCATATTGGTATGCATATGGTGCCAATTTTGGTTAAATTAACTCTTTGGAAAAAGCTTCTACTTGCAGCACTAACACATTGCATTTAGTGTATTTACTGCACCAATCCTGACTTTCGGTGCTAGTCTCAAAATGTAACCCTGAGCCTTCAAAAAAGAAGACAAAAGCACTTTGTTCTCATAGTGTTTCAAGAACAGCCTGTGCTTAAGTCACAGCTTCTGCCGCATTCTATCCTCAAACATTTTGTCTCTGCACTACTATATCCTACACTATACCTCTGGTAGCAGCGCACAGGCTGATAGGCTGGCGCTAAGGACGCTGTCCCCCGCAGTATAGGAAAGGAAGAGGTCAGACCTACTGCTGTGGGGAGTGCAGAAAAGGTCTGTCACTGAGGAAGAGGCTGAGCTGGGAGGAGAGCTATCCCTGATCCTTTCCTGAGCTTGCTCTACACCCCCTGTCCCTGACATAGAACTTTCCTGCAAGAAGGACATCAGAAACAGAACAACATGGGCATGTACCATCAAATTATAAATAAAGCGATCACCAGTACAAAAACAAATAAAACTGTTAATGCAGAATATTTAAAAAGTAAAATGGACAACTCTAAATATACCTTATTTACAGTTACCATACAAATAACATACACCCGAGCTTCTGGGAAAGAAGACATACTGGTTTCCAGGACTAGGGACATTGTTCTTAATATTTTAAGAATCAGCCTAGAATCAGCCTGTTATTGCAAAAACTGGACCATGTTAAAACTTAAATTAAGGTGCTAGTGCTATTAAAAAATAGAAAACCCAACCCTTGGGAAACAGCATTGGAAAACTCCCGGCTTAAAAAGCTGATATTAAAAATAAATGTGACAAAATATTAAATTCAGACATTGCTGCACTTTAAACACTGAAAGTGTTTTGTACCAAATGAGTCCTTAGAAAAGTGAATGAAAAAATAATCTGCAAAGCTCAATGCATCTGAGATGTTCTTAAATATTTGGACCCCCTAAACGTACATACATTATTTCTGAGCATTAATATAAAAAATAATATTACATCAGAATTATGATGATGTGTAATATCCATCAGATGAATTGTCACATAATATTTGATACATTACCAGTGTTCCAATTTTACAAACAGAAACCAAGAAAGGAATAAATCTTCAATTACAAGACATAAAACACTTGAGGTAAATCTAAAGTTGTGAAGTTAGCAAACCTGTAATTTTTTATAATATGCCAAAAAAAGCCAAGGAAGTAAAATAATATTAAGGTCACTGTAAAATACAAGAGTAAGAAGGTTTTCAATAAATTAGGCTAAACAATTTGCATAACTGTACACTACAAATTGTCAATCTAAACATCTATAAAACGACTTCTGTTACTCAAAACTGTTAATTACACCTTTGCTATTCCCATCAATATAACTGCTGTTACCTTGGCTAATGCACACATAACCTTTCTGAATTGTCTGCACTGTACTCGGTGACTAGGTGAACAAACTGTGAAAGTGATGTAAGTTCATCGACACCAACCTAAAAACACATAAATAATGAAAACCTCAATCAGATTTTGCTTTAGCAAGCTTATTTATTTCCCAGCAGTTCTGACCTGTACATTTTAAAAATAGCTTATAAAATACTGCAATGTATAATCCAGAGTATAAAAAGGATGCTACAACCTGAAGTCAGACGAGGACGACATCAAGCTATCTAATCACTGGTTTATATGATGCAATGGGCTTCAATAACAACAAGAGGCCCACCAGCATCTTAAGCCTATTCTTTTACCGTTTCCAAAGCACGGCCGAAAATAAAACGATCATAAAGATTTAATATTAAAAGTATATGCAACATTTAAAAAACGACCAAATTAGACTTGTTCTAGCAATAGAATTCACCGAGTTCTCAGTACCGGTTGGAGCTAAGTGACCAAATGCACCTAAAGTTGGGAGAGACTATCCACACTGTGCACCTCTAGTAATGATATCTACTCAAATCACAGAAAACACCCACTCCCTCTTATTTCCCACATAAATTAGATAAACAAAACACATATCAAGAAAACGAAATGCCGCCGTCGTGATTGAACCCGCTTAAACCGAACTTAGACAAGTTGACAAGACCTCTTCCAAAATTGACAAGAGCCGGAGGCCCAATTCATTTCAATGGGATGACCGAACCAGAGAAGTCAAAACCAACGTACTGCCTAACGTTACCAACATGTATCTAGTTGGTACTGCAACTAATAAACGCCTTGTGGATATCAAAATTTTAATAATTAGTTTACCTGAAAGTTAAAGACCTGCACGGGTAGAGGCATCTCCTCCTCCTTCTATGCAGAAACACAAGCGCTCACAAACACATCCGGGGTACAGGGCAACACGTAGTGTTGAACGTCTTGACGTCATGTCGGGGGGCTTGCAGCAAACGCAAGCGCAGTGTTGCACAGGGAGTTCATTGTATGATGAAAAAGGGAATGTTACCCAGTGAATTTGAAAGGCATATACTGTAATATGATTACTGTTTTTATATGGAGCAAGTGCTGGCTTTTTTGATAACTTTTTATGTCAAAGAATAAAACATTTAATAGACAGGAATAAAATAAGATACAGAAAAAAGAAGGTTTGTGAATTATTTTATTTAAAATATTATATGAATACAGAAAATAAAATTATTTACATATTTTATGTACATGTAGCGTAAATATGTAGCGTGAATGGAAGAGCAGCCAGAAACCGTAGTGTATACTTTGCCTTAAGGTAAACCAATTTACTCTTCAAATTTATGTGTGCAAAGTATTACTTTTATTATAGCAC